AGTAGTCCAGGCGGGAGGTGACAAGAGCATGGGTGACTGTGCGCAAGGCATCCCGGTCCAGAAAAGGCCGCAACTGGTGTACCAGGCGTACCCGGTAAAACGCCCCCCTGGCCACAGCCGTCAACTGGTCGTCCAGTGTCAGCCGTGGATCCAGGAGGACCCCCAAATTGCGCACCCTCTCCGAGGGGGCCAAAGTTTCTCCCCCTATAGTCAGCGATGGAGTCAGCTGACCATACCTGGGGGCCGGCAACCACAGCCACTCAGTCTTGGAAGGGTTGAGCCTGAGTCTGTTTCTCCCCATCCAGTTGTTTCCTGTTCCTGTTTGAGGCTTTGTATTTCCTGTGTCATGTAATTTGACCTTAGTCTGAGTGTGCCCCTTTGGCATATGTGGGTTAATCCTATTATGTCCTGTCTTAGAGTTTGGGTGAGGTATGTAGATTTTAAGGGTCTTTGTCTTCCTAAGCTTCTAGCTGGGGACCTCCAACCTTCCTGAATGGATTACCACATCTGCATTTCTACAGAGCTGGTTTCTGCTTGGGGGAGGGAGACTTGGTGCTATTAAAAAAATTGGGCATGCTTTTCTGCCTCTTTAAGATCCTTTGAGGAAATATATTTTTCTGCCCTTTTAATATTTCCTTCTCTGTGGGGACTTCCCACAATATAAAAAAGGATTCAAAAGAAGCCTCTGAAAAAACCTGTAAGGACAAAGAGTGAGAGCAGGACCTGAAAATCCCCATCAATAGAGCTGCCCTAACTTTCTTTTTCCTTTTAATTAATGAAATGAAATTGTGGCATGTTACAAAGCAAAGTACCAGCCTTTAGCACTGCCTTTATTTATAAGAAAGCCTCCAAGCAGCCTTTGAAAATAACAATAATAGAGAGATTTGATATTCATTTGCTTCTTTGCTCCTTGCAAAATATAAAGATTAAATTGTAATGCTTGTGGATTGGTTGGAAGCAATCTTATCAGTTTAGTTTCTGTTAAAATAGTATTTGGGAACTGACATCACCCATTTGAATGTCACTTTTTGAATAGGCAGGGCCGATGGCAGCCATTTTGTAAAAGTACCCACAACATGCATCCAAATAAGACACAGAATTCACATGACATGTTCAATTAAAATAAAAAAACTAGACAATGATTTATACTGCAGGTGGCAAATGGTGATTTAAAGACAAGTGCCCTGCCTTGTCATGATAAGAATGGATGGGATAAAAAGTTTGAATGCTTGGACACTATATTTCCTTTTGACTCTTGGAGGGAATATTTATGAGGCAAAATGGATATCTATGCAAGATTTAAGATTCCCTTAACTTTCCCCCAAGCCTCCAGTAATAAAAGAAAAAAAATCAGACCTCATATTTCAGCTTCCCTTCTCTGGATGCTTTGGGGGACACAAGTTGCCTTTCCCTGAGTTAGCAGAAAGAATATGTATGTTGTGGCGGAGGGTTCCTTAGTCTGCCCTGCAATAGCTCACATTTTTCAGGCTATGTTTGAGAAAAAAAATACAATTGTACGTGTCCTCATAATATTATGAACAAATAAACAAGGAAACACAAAGATTTAATTAAGGCAGTTGGCTGCTGTGCAAGTAAACAGGATAGGATGATAAAAGCCAAACTAGACAAACTTCAAATCTGCTGGTTTTGGCTCAGAAAAGCTCATTGCTAAGCAAACAGAGTTCAGGTCTTTTGGAAGCAATTCAAAAAGTGAGCTTTTAATTCAAAGGAGACGCAGTTGCCAACAACATGACATTGCAAAGGTTGAAACCTGTGGGTAAAACATAGGCATGATTCAGAAGCTGTCAGTGGGAAAGGCTCACCCTATCATCATGTTGTACCACATGTTAAACCATGCCTTGTTTAACTTTGGTTGCTTGAATAAAACTTATAAACCACATTTATAGGATTTGCACCTCAGACAGTGTCTGCCAGGCCTCTCTATATAAATGGGGCATAGTATCCTCCCCTCAGTGTGACTGTGGAGTCCCACATCAAACTGTAAATTACATCGTGACTGGCTGTAAGCTGAAGGCATATACCAGTCCAGTGTCTGATTTTTTTAAATATAAATAATGCTGCACTTCAATGGTTAGATGGCCTCGATATTAGTATTTTTAACATTTATATTTTATTGTGTTTTATTAATCTAGATGAAACATTAATATATATATATTGATAGTTCATGTATCATATGCCATACACCAATAATAAATATAAACCACTGTGTTTGTTAATGTGCAGCATTTACATAAGCAAAACTTTCCCTTCGCATGTTGTATCAACCAATGCAAATTTACAATGGATTATTGAAAAATTTACCAGTGTACAGTATATCAGCAGTGATCTAAGAATGGGTTCTCAGGTCTCTTCTTTCATTACACTTATAGCAGTGATGATGAACCTTTTGGGCCCGGCGTATCAAAAATTCAGAAAATGCCTAGCTTGACTCTACTGGTGTATCACACATGCACACATACAAATAAAAGTGAAACAATTCTCTACCTCCACACACACTCACCCCATCTAGGCCATCCTGAACAGTGGCACTTGGCTGAGATCCGGCCTTGACTTTAGCCCTAAGACCACCACTGCCACTCAAAAAGGCCACTTCGCACTGTTCCACGGGATTTGCTGCATGCCGTTTCCCTTCCGATGGTACTGTTCTATCCCAGCCTGTGTGAGTCCTTGTGTGATGGTACTGTTCTATCCCAGCCTGTGTGAGTCACAAGGAGAAACCCCCTCTTCCAACAAGCAGGCTGGAACCACAGGAAAAAAAACCCCTTTTATTATTTACAGACCTGAGTAAAATATCCAAAGGCAAAGGTAAACAAAACACAATTCACTGAAACTTGATTCCTTAACACAAACTGTTGCCTTCAGCAACCAGCACCTCCCACACCTTCCTTTTTATTATGCAACCAAGGTGTGGCTTCCTAATGCCTTCTCCTTTGCCTTTGGAGTCAGCCCATTGCATTTCTCTGTCCAACTCTCTTTGCCTGCCGGCGTTTACGAGCATCCTGGATGTCTTCCAGCTATGAGTCATCACTGTCCGACTCAGCCTCCCAGCACAGCTGTGTCTCAGCCTGAGCATGAGTGGAGGGGCCAAGCTCCTTGTCAGGCTGTAAGTCTTGGAGCTCATCAGAGCCTTCCTCTGACTCTGATGTCACTCCAGGCCCCTCCTCTGATTCCCCAAACTCAGCTGCCAGATACACTGGCTGACGAGGAATCACAACAGGTGTTCTCTTTATGTTGATAGGCCCCTGCAGTCTACCTGATGCTGTTTCAGGTTACATGAGGTCTTCATTCTTGAAGCAGCTTCAGAGAATGTTCTTCCACAGCTTCTGCAGCCTCTGAACACCAGACAAAAACACATCCCATTCTTATTATTCTTGTATTCTTTGGAAATACAAAATCTGAACCAACAATAAAGATGATTAGGGGTCTGAAGGCTAAAACATATGACGAACTCTTGCAAGAATTGGGTATGTCTAATCTAGAGAAAAGAAGGACTAGGGGTGATATGATAGCAGTGTTGCAATATTTGAGGGGCTGCCACAAAGAAGATGGGGTCAACCTATTCTCCAAAGCAACAGAGGGCAAAGCAAGAAACAATGGATGGAAACTAATCAAGGAGAAAACCAATCTAAAACTAAGGAGAAATTTCCTAACAATGAGAACAATCAACCAGCTTGCCTTCAAAAGTTGTGGGTCCTTCATCACTAGAGGCTTTTAAGAAGAAACCGTGATCATTGAATACAATAGAGTTAGAAGGGGCCTTGGAGGTATTCTAGTCCAGCCCCCTGCTCAAACAGGAGAATCTATATCATTTCAGATAAGTGACTATCTAGTCTCTTCTTACAAACCTCCAGTTATGGAGCACCCAGTGGTTAATTGTCCTCACTGTTAGGAAGTTTCTCCTTAATTCTGGACAGCCACATGTCTGGAATGGTATAGTGTCTCCTGCTTGATTTAGATTTTTAGATTTAGATTTAGATTTTATTAGATTTATACCCCGCCCTTCTCCTGGCGGACCCAGGGCGGCTTACAGCAAGCTAAAAACAGATAAAGACCTTACAAACACCATTTTAAAATACAATTAAAAGAAATATTAATTTTGCCGTTTCATTTAAAATTTTGAGAACACCCAATATAAAATCAAATTAAAATCCAATCTAAAATACCCCTCAGGCCAGCCCCGCTAGCTGGAATAGCCATGTCTTGAGGGCGCGGCGGAAGGAGGGGAGATCCGGGATGACCCGGATCTCTGGGGGTAGTTCGTTCCATAGGGAGGGGGCTCCAACAGAGAAGGCCCTCCCCCTGGGGGTCGCCAGCCGGCANGCAGGTCTGGCCTAGGGAATTTTAGTGGATTTTAAATTGGTTTTAATCAAATTTTTAGTAGAAGCGGCCAAATTTGAATATTTATTTTTAATCATTTTTAAATTTTGTATTGTTTTGTATCATTGTTTTAAACTGGCTGTAAGCCGCCCTGAGTCCTCCGGGAGAAGGGCGGGGTATAAATTTAATAAAATGAAAAAAAAATGAAAATGAAATGACCACCAGCTGGCCCAGCTCAAGGGAGGTAAGGCACCCGCCGGAAAAGGGGGAAAAAATGGCAGACAGCCTTGCTTGGCGACCCTCGTGAAATGGTCGATCGACCCCAAATGGGGTCGCGACCCATAGGTTGAGAACTGCTGATCTAGGGTTTGATGCCATTCCTATTATTTGTTTATTAATTTGTTACCAATACAATTACTCTTTAAAAAGTACATGTGTCGATAAAAGTACATGAATGAACCAATACACCATAGTTCATTCTTGAATAGCAAAATGTGGAGGTCTTGGTAAAGGATAATGTGAGGATATAAGTGTGCTATTTCATAACAAACATTTGTCCTCCACATCATTTCTATAGCAGCTATCCAAATTTCAGTGAAGAGACCATAAAAAGACAGGCAGTACAGTAGTATTCTCATATTTTCAATAGGGTTTGAAAGCATTCTGCCTCTGATACTGAAAGTTATAGAAAGCAATTGTAATGCATAGACACATTTTAGCTTATTCTCTTGTCTGAAAACTCCACATCATGATGGTAATCATTATAAAAAATGTCTGTTTGTAAGAAATGACAAACATCTGCTAATTTCTGTGTATGAAGCGATAATTAAATAAAATGAAGCAATAATAAAAAACATAAACATGTCAGGCTAATGTTATTTTTGATCAATTGGCAATTCTAGTTCATAAACAGCATTAACTATTCTCACAGATTTTGCATTGTGTGGCAGGACTCAGAACAAATAATTTATTATTATTATTGCCTGTTTTTCATTATCATTTTATAACCCATAAATGACTTGAATTTGGAGAATATTTGCACTAAGACTTTACTATAGTAGCTGGTGTGAACTTTATATATTTGTGGACAAAGTCTGTAATAGGAAATAGTTTCTGAGTACTGTAGCCGTTGAATGCCCATATAAGTCTTGACTTTGTAGAGATTAAGAGCTACAATCCACTATGAAAATAAGTAAATGTGAAGTTTCTTTCTTGTCAGTCTCATAAGTAAAGAGCACTGCTCCCTTGCACTTGGAAAACAGGTTTATTTTTGAAATAAATGAAGGGTAGGCAGTGGTGGGATTCAAACATGTGAACAACCAAAAAATTAGCTACCAGTTCTGCTGAAGTGATGCGAACTGGCTGAATCCCACCACTGAGGGTAGGTAAATCCTACTAACAGCACCCCTTTTCCAGCTCATTCATTTTCTGCACAACATTAGCCCACAGGAAATATGTGGACCACCAAGCATTTTATAAAAACTCAGTATATTCACTGCCATCAAATATCACAACTACCAGGAAGAATCCACCAGTACAGTCTCCCCACAAGACACTGCTGAGCAATACTTTCAGTTCTGACTGACACCATCAGCTCCACTGCTTCCACCAAACAAAGGATCAACATGTCAGCTATTCCTTTTTGGTCCACAGTTATTTTTAATTTATCAGTGTGGCCCTTTCTCCTCTGGGAGCTATGCAGGCCTGATTTATAGTAACACAAAGATATATTTGTGATATATTTGTTGTATCTTTTTAATATTTCCATTAGGAAGGTTTGTTGTCTTGGAGCTATGGCTTTTCCTGAATGCCAAAACCAACATGCATGTAATTACTGAGAATATTCATTTGTTTATTTATTTATTTTTCCAGCACAGTACTGACCGAATTTTGAGTGTGCCAATTCAGAAATGAGTTTATTCAGTTCAGTAAAGTTTACTCCCAGATAAACCAGTGGAGTCTTGCAATCAATCACACAGTGGGAAATTTAAATTCCACAGACCATTGTTGCTGGTAGTCGTTTTTTCTTTCGTCCCATTTCTCTTAGCATCACAGCCTTCTCCAGGGAGCTGGATCTTCATATAATGTGCCCAAAGTAGGATAAGTTAAGCCTGCTCATTTGCGCCTCAAGTAAGAACTTGCTGAACGAGCCATCTGTTTTTATTAGCTGTCCACAGTATTCTCAGCAGTAGTCTCCAATACCAAAATATAACGGTATAAATAATTTTCTTAAACTGCTTCTCGAAAGCTCAAAAGTCTTGTTGAAAGAAAAATCAGGTCCAGTTCCAAATCGGGAATAAAATGGAGGTTGCTTAAGAAAGAAGATTTGTTTATTGAGGAGCAGAACCAGCAACAATATGCAGTTCTGGGACAGCTGACAAAATGGAGTTGAGCATGGGTGGGTTTTTATACCTACTTTGGGCTTTGTATTTGAGATGCCTGTTGTGAAATGTACTTTGACCTGTGCTTGAGTGTGCCCTTTTGATATTCTAATTATTGTTACCTGACTCCCATTATGGCTGGGAAGTCCTATCCTGTCCTTGGAGCTGGGTGGGGGAATGTAAATTCTTAATTCCATCAGCTGTGGGGGCTCTAGGCATTTTGCTTATGAATAGTGTGCCCCAGTCTTTTGGAATGGATTACCAAATCTCCATTTCTAAAGACTGGCCTCCTCAGGCTTCTGCCTGAGATTTTTTTCTCCATTTCTCCTTCAGGGGAAATATTCTATCCTGCCTCTTTTAATATCCCCCCAAATATTTCACTCTCTGGGGAGGTGGATGCTAACTTCCTATAGTCTATAAAGGAATCATTATTTATCTGTCGAGGCATTATATCTATGGAACAGCTTATTCCAAGGCCTAATCTCCGTCATTCTAAAGTTCAAAATATGAAATAATAGGTTCAATTTATAGAAAAGAAATTCCAATTGAATGTTTTTTTTAAATAAACTTATCAGTAATTGCAGTTTGACAGTTGTACCAATTTCTAATAAAGAATAGCAGCTCTCCTTTGGTGGATGTTTTCAAGCAGAAATTAGACATCCATCCATCCATCTGCTGCTGATGCTTTAATCTACATTCTGCACAGAGCAAGAAATTTGACTCAGTGACCCCCCAATGGCCCTTTCCATCCATAAATTCAATCATAAATATTAACTCATTTGCCTGAGCATTGTATTAAATGCGTTGCACTTTGCATAACATATGTTTCTGGTCTCTGCTTGTGGCACATTGTACCCTGGATTAATTCAGCCATCCTGTAAAAGGCTAACCTGAGATAGATAGATAGATAGATAGATAGATAGATAGAGAGAGAGAGAGAGAGAGAGAGAGAGAGAGAGAGAGAGAGAGAGAGAGAGAGAGAGAGAGAGAGAGAGAGAGAGAGAGAGAGAGAGAGAGAGAGAGAGAGAGAGAGAGAGAGAGAGAGAGAGAGAGAGAGAGAGAGAGAGAGAGAGAGAGAGAGA